TATGACATCAACAATGTTTATAAATATGTTATATATAAGTTTTTCCATCACAAATTAATCAAAGGTAAAAAGATGTTTTAATCTAATCATAGACAGGATTATTATATTAGTACTAGCGTAAATTAATAATATCATCGCATCTACAAGTTCGTATTTGGAAAATAATGTAGCCGACCTACTTGTGTCGTAAAGTCCCTTGTAAATTATTTTCCGACAAAGCTTTAGTTGTATTGCCTGACGGAAATGAACATCATTGGTGAACAAGTCAGTGCCTATAACGATATATACATTTTTAGTTGGTGTATTATTATTTTTAATTTAACAACAAATGTTTTAGTGGTGACATGTCGTCATTTGCTCTCTTTTTTCATTTAGGTATTTTTTTCGGCAGTATATTCATAATATTCACAAAGACAATCTATATTAGTTGTAATAAAGATTAATAATTAAAAAGACAAATGTCGATACTAAACACATGATCAACAATTTAAGTGTAGAAAATGAAATGTTAAAGCTAAATAGAGATATAAGTGGTAAATATTTGATCGCCCTTAACTGTTCATCGTCATAAATGATATTTGTATCTTGCAATATTGTTGCATCTCCCGTGACCATATACCGTACTAGGCCATGAGTGTGTGATTGTTGTGGTATTATTGTGATTCATCAAATATAGATGAGGATGCATACCGTTCAGCTTACGTCAACGCTCTCGTCGTGCTACACATTACGTTCTACCATTACTTTGTATCGAACATAAACTTATGATGAGGACCCATGAAGACATGGGAATTGTACCGTTGGCCTGATTTTTCCGGTTTATTTATATGTTTCGAATCAAGAAATGCTCGAGGTCGTTGTTCAATCTTCCAGATAGAGAGTAGGTGGGGGGTTCTTTGTTGCACGATCCACATCATCATAACCTTCATAAAATGCTAATTTGCTTTGGGTTTTTTGTTCTTTTATTTGCATAGGCACTCAATGTCTTTGCTGACTTTTTTGCCATTGAGGCCGAGGCAATGTGGAGCAAGGTCAGATATTGTGCTCCAAAATGATGATGTTAGAAAATATAGTTAGATTTTATTTTCATCAAATATACAATATACATATTTACCTTGAATATCCCCATATTCAGGTTCTGAGTAACCTAATCCCAACCTTTAACATCCATCTTTCTAATATGCCTTAACTTTATGCTTAAATGTGATCTAAAGGTTGGAATACTTTTAAATTCATTTGAGTAAGATTTAGGAGTGGTTATATGTTAAGAAATCATAGTACGTTGCGTKTTGMCTAAGTATGTGTTCAAAATATCATTTTCGGTATGGTTTTTAGCACTGGGTTCGAACGAAAGACTTTTTTGGAATTTGATGGTTTGGAATTAAGTTTAGAATCATTTGGTAGGTATTAGAAGTGTTGTAGAATTTTTACGCATTTCCGATCATAATGTCAAATAATGGAATTAAGGAAAGTATAACGTCTAAGTTACAAATAAGTAAAAATGCTTTTATTGGGAGATATTTTCTTGAATATTTTTATTGTGAGTTCTAGGTTATCTTGTTACGAACGTATAGGCGAAAACCTCATCGAAAATGGAGTTTCGAGGGAAAAGTTATGCAATTTTTAGTGTTTAGTAGTCAAAATGGGTTCCAAACCAGGTCAACCCGACCCAACTCGAGTTTAAGTCGTGAAAAACCCCCCCAAAACAGTCCCATTTTACCCACATTTCACCCAAAATCAATACTTCATGTTCTAAGGTGAGAACACACACACTTGGAAGCTAATCTAACCCTAAATCAAGTGATTTAACAAGATTTTTGAAGGATTTGTGAAGAAATCAAAGGTAAAACTCACCTCCTAGTCTTGTTTTTGTTTTGTACATAAATTGATTAGTTTTGAGTCCATGCACTTGATGATTTAGTAATTAAATTATGTTAAGATTAAGTGTTATTATCTGTAATATGTGAAATTCATGGATGGATTGTAAGATTTCTTGAAATGTATAATGTAAACTCAAGAACATGTGTTGACTTTTAGGAGTCAAAGTGAAATATGAAGGAATTGGTAGGAAATTGATGTGATAATCATGGTTTATGATTGATTTATTCTGTAATATGGTAAAAATAAGTGAATATATGAATTTGGAATTGATTGGACTAGTATGGGTCAAGTTTTTGGATGAAAAATAGATGTTTTGAGCATATGTCAACATGGTTACAGCCCTGTCTTTGAAAAATCAAAGAAATTCGTATAAAATTCCTAAAATTATGTATAAATAGGCCCTGAAAAGTTAAGAGAAAGGGATACAACTTATCTTTAGAGGTTAAATGGTGATTTCCTATAGCACTGTACACAACAGATTTCTTACAACACATGTTTTTCCAATAGTCAAACTAAAGCTACTATTTTGTATTGTGTAAGAACAACGACCTCAATACCAAAATGGACAAATTTATATTCAACCCCTCATAGTGGATAATTTTGCAGCCTGTTGGTAATTCAGTTGAAACGGCAATCAAGATTTTATTATTTTATGAAAACGGGATTTCCAGGCCCACTATAATTTTCCCAAGGGGCAGGCAATTGAAGATGTTGCAGTCACGGCCATTTGTCCTATATATTGTTCTTAACGACAAAATACCACATGACTACAATTTAGTCTT